ATTATCAAGAATGGGTTCACCCAAAATGAAAAAGCTGCTTAGATATATAAGCGGGTAAAAACAACTCACTAACTTATAAATTAGAATTATTACTAATAATTTTACCTAAAATGGAGTCAAGGTCAATAACTGTAAAATCGTCAATTTGTAGTAAAGTACATTTTTTTTTTACCGTAGAATACCAAGAATATCCTTCGCAGGCTCGTCCCCCTTTTCCTTCGCGCACGCACGCAGAAGGTGACCATTCGTCGTAAAAAAAGAGAAAAACCAAAAAAAATAAAAAGCGTGACGCGGCGCGACATTTCGTCGCGATTGGATCTCTCCACGTCGCCTCTCATGATTTCCACGTTCGTGCGCGAACGATGCCGGGCTCGTCGGAATTTCTCGGTTACATCATCACGAGTTTTTGCGGCGCCCGCGCCGCACACACACACCGACGTCCGACGTCCGACTGTATGTATGCGGCGCGTACGCGCTGCGTACACCAGCTCGCACGCCGCCTATGTCCTACAAGCCCGCTGGACAAAGTTGTGGCCGGTATCAATTGGCCGTGCTCTCCGCGTTGTATACCGGTCGACCTTCTGGAGTTGCAACACGAGACCTGACACAGATAGAAGAGACTGCGCCTGCTTCAGCAGCAGCAGCAGCAGCACACAGTGCGAACCAGTCGGTTGCCCAGGCATCGCTCAGGCATCGCTAACGTAGTGCATGCCTTGCGAAACTGCCGGCAGGCAGTTCGACTCGACCGGCCGGCAGTTTCAACGGGGAAAAACCCCGTTAATTTCGTCGGGATAAAATCAATCAAAGTTAGATAGAATCACGGCCGCTAGAGCCTGAGAGATCGCTATGACTCGCCACGACCGCGGTGAGTCGCGGTGGATCGATTAGAGGCGATGCCATATCACGGAGCGCGGAGCGCTCTTTTCTCATGAAAAACGAGCCGGCCATATAGAGCTGATCCTCTGTCCGACGAACCTCGGCCTTATTCCCTCCAAAACGACCCTGACCACTCGATCTCGGCCAGTGGCGTAAACAGAGGATGTTTTTTTTTTTTTTAACTTAAAACGAGCCGTATAGAAAACACCGCTCACGTGCCAAAAGTAATGTAACCGTTGCATTTTGGGAAAATGTATTGGGAGAAAAGTATTTCATATTTGTGACTGTAGGTGATTGCATAGTAAAATATCGCATAGTATAATTGTGATTGAGAACGTCATAATAATAGTTGTTTTTCCGTCAACTTTCATAGAGCGAATCTCACTCTGGAAGAATTGAAAATTGAACCACTTTTTTCCCAAGACTGACTCAATTCTCATTCCTTAGAGTGAAATTTCACTTTAAAGAATTTAAAGAACGTACTTATAATTCTGATATATTTCTTATATACAAAAAAAGTATATATACTTGTGATCGAAAACACGACTATAATTTGTACTCGTTTATAATAACAATAAAAATAATAATTTCATCATGCAATTGCAGTCTCCAATATCAAACACTTTTTTTTTCTCAGTGTGTGTTATCGAATATATAATAAAATTTACGTGCGTTATCACATGATGTTGCTGCAGCGAAAGTAGAAGCTTACGGAAAAGATGATGATTTTACGGATTAATTTTCCGTTATAATGACCCGTTATAACGGCCATTATTTATGCGTATACTTACATTTATGCGTTATTACGAAAGGGAGTTATGTCAGAAGATTTTTTTCTTTTTACACGTACGCGGTAATTAATAAATTCCTAATGAACGCTAAAGCTAATTGCGGCGTCTGCATAATTATTTCTCGCTCAGTAGACGATCTTGTTTCGCCAGGCTGTGTTTAGAGGAGATTTTTGTACACGCGTACGCGGTGCTTAAGCTGGAGGACAGACTGATCGCGTTGATCGTGTGAAAGGGTTGAGAGGCGGTGCTCGTTTGCGCTACTGATCCGAGATTCTCGACGTGCGTCACCTTCGCAACGCGACGCAACGCCGAGGCGTAAGCAATTTGCGTTTCGACGAATCGCGAGTCGCCGCCGGCTCTTGATCTGGGACAATAAAGTCCACGGTCTTCCTGTAGGCGTACGGTAACGCGAATAGCCTTCGATAGCTTCTTCTTGACTGTAGATCTTAGACCGCGACTCAATATAGTAACAACTTATTGAATTCTACTGAATTTCTTTTCTTTTTCTTTCATTTTTACATGCATGTCAGAATGAATATAAATGTGTGAAATATAAATGAGAAATTAATTAATTAAGGAGTAATATTGAAAAAAAAAAAAAAAACAAATCTATGATGACTTCAATACAAAATACTTAATTTTATTATAATATTATGTATGACTATACAGTGATTAAAATAAATATTAGATATGATACATAGGGGAAAAAATGAAATTGTTCTGATAATTTCTTTTTTTTTTTTTTTAACGAAGTACAGTGCCGCGATAACTAATGAAACATTGTTGATGTGACTTTGAAAAGTATACATTGAAAAATTCTTCAATAAAATCGCACTTGTGAGCAATACGCGGTATCACCATAGGGACTATTAAATGGTATTCTAATGAAATAGTTCTTTGACTGCAAGTCATTGAGTTCGAAGACGAGAGTCGAAACGAGGATGCATCTCGATAGTACAGTTTTTAGTTTTATACAAAAATTAATTTTGTAATTCCTGGAAGAGTTATACATATTTAAATACAAATTTATGGACAATAGCACTTCAACTATGTGTTATAAAGTTAATAAGAGCATGAATAAATAAATTATACAAAGTAAAGAAATAAAATAATATTTACTAGTTATCATTTATCACTTACTACAAATGGTTGATATTTTCGTAATTTATGTAACTGAGCTTCATATATGATTCAGCTCTTTTGAAAAGAATGTTATATTAACCTGCATGACTAGAGATGTAAAAAAAAAACGATATTCTTTACTTCGGAGAAAAATATCAAGTAAAAAACGGTATTTTTGACCAAATCACATAAAATTCATGAAAAAAACATAGAATTCGTATGAAATATGTAGGAGAAGAAATAGAATTCATTTTTCTGATTATTTCGATACTTTTTAATACTTTTGTATAATTTTATATCGAAGCGAAAATATGTATTATTGGCTGTTGCAATTCTTGACGAGTTGATAATATTATGAATCAATAGGTCTGTTTGCGTTGCTTGCACTCTTTGCACTCAGCATCTGTGCTTTCTTTTTTCTTTCAACGGCCGAATCTATTTTTCTAATCGTATCGCTTTAAGTGCAAAAATATTGGGAGATTTCAAGCAATGCGACAGATCTGAATGACCAAAAACAGAAATATCCGAGTAAAAAACTGTCAAGGCCGAAGGAAAAGAACCATTAATTTCCGATTAATTTTGTATCTCTATAAAATCTAGTATTTTTCCGTCGTTTACATCTCTATACGTGACGAAATGAGTACAGATTTTCACATACGCATTCGCATCATTACTACGTAATAATTATACGAAATTGTGGACTAATCAAGAACGAATTTGCCCGTTCTCTATGTTAATATTTAAAGAACACTTCTATCCAAAACGGCATGGCGGTTGCACAGCGAGACTAAATAAGGCCGCGAAGCATCTGGGCCCTGCGTAACGATGCGGTTACGCGGCGGCTGCGTTCGCGCGGTATTATCATAACGGGCAGTTGCGGAAAATGAGTTTCGCGAACTTTTAAACCGCGCGTCCCGCGAAGAGTTCCGTCGTCCCGTCGAGTTCGCCTCCCGTACCTTGCAGCCCAGGGCTGAAACCGTTCGTACTTGCCATACAGTACGGACTCGAGTGGGAAAAAACGCTTCCGTACCTAACGGTGGCTTTCTATCTGTTGCAGGAGAACATCTCGACCCCGGAGCCCGCCGACATATCCGAGGACGATCACTATCCAAGTGAGCAAAACCTTTCATTATCTGTATATCCTATATAGCGTCCTATAAACCTTACCGCGCCCCCTTACGGTCGGTGTCGGAGGTGCCGTCCCCCTCCCCCCCCCCCCTTCGAACCTTCCACCTGGCAAAGGATTACGAGATAATCCTTACGAAACAAGGCGCAGAGGTGCGTATCTGCCCCGCGTGCGGTGAACAAGGTTTTTTTTTTTCTTTCACCGCTCGACACGAACCGTCTCGTTTCTCGCGTATCCTTTTCGCCGTCGCGGGGTCAGGTCGCAACGACGTTTCGGGCATCCCGACCCGAATTCTAACGGCGGCGTCGCGCGTTTTTACATTATTGAACCGTGTCGCGAATGATTTAAACGTCGACTCTCCGCGTCCGCTGTGCCACGCCGCTGTTCCCCGCCTCACCCTTTCTCTTTCCCTCTGTCTCCTCCCCCCTGTCTCCTCCCCTCTCACCCCCGCGGGCTAATAAATCTCTGCTCCTCGTCATCGCGCGGCCGAAGCGCCCGTCCGCCGTGTGTCGCCGCTAATTCCGCCGCGCTCGGACGAACAAACGGAGCCGCGCCCGCGCGATACGCTAGAAAATCTGCGGATTGTCCCTTTGAACTATCCGGTCCGATTATACGCGGCTGTACGTGGAACATCGTTATTTCAGTCATTCCCGTGGAATTTGCGCGAATTACAGTATGCGCGTATATATTGTCCGTCACCGCCGCCGCCGCCGCCGCCGCCGTGGATTATTATAATAAGCTAAATTAGTTATTGACAGATCGAATTTCGTCCGCCACGTGTTCTAATGATAATCCTAAGTAAACACATCTTGGAACAGACGTTGATATGTTTCGTTAGCTTTTATTTAATCCTCCGCTGGCAATATGAACCTTTAATACCGCATCACGGGCTTTTGCATAACGCACAACGCGTAGCAAATTCTCCCCTTCCTCTCATTTCGTGGGAAAGAAGAATTTTGATTGATTCGAACAGTGCAGAGGTTTTCGAGAAACGAAACAAATTTTTCATTGTTCCGGATTATGAAAATCAGACAAAATTCTAATAAACTTGTCAAAGCTTTAACAATAAGTTTTTACTGTCATAGAAATTGAATTGTATTTCACTTATTTTTTTTTGCAGATTTCTAAAATCTACCAACGTTCACGATCAAAATGTTGACGGCGGTGGCCTTTAAAGATCCTAGTTGCCAATGAAAGATTAAAAAAGAAGTCGAAACTTTCGTTCTCCTTTGATCTTCGTGTACTTGGATATATCATAGAGTAGATAAGATGTAAATGATAAATTGTTACTAAACAATCTGAATTAATAAATTATCGGAAAGAAACTGAAAATGGATTGTTTGAAGTAAGTTCTAACGGAAAGATTAAATTTTTCTGCGGACGAAATGGGTTACTTGTAGCGAATCGAATATTCTTCGAACATTTCCCGGTAAATCCTTGCAGGATCTCAGACGGTAATAAATCAAGGTATAATAATCTAAGGGTTAATGTCGGCTGTTCGATTCCGATATGTACGTACGTTCGCGGCAGCTCGCGTGGCACGGATCGATATAACGAATTAATAGTATCGAACGCGTTACTCGGCATTCGATTACGGTTTCGCGACGTACAGAAGAGCGGCTCGTCTTCGGCGTGCAGAGAGGAACGGACATGTATGGTGCCGCGTTACATGCGCGGTGTGCGGTCAGATAAAAAAAAAAAATCAATGATTTCGTGAGAGGAGAGCAAGAAATACATGTACGTGACACATATATGTATTACAGGCACCGATCTAAACGTTCAATCGAGCTTGCCTTTGACCAAATTCCTCTGAATGGCGACAAGTCTGTTTAAGAGCGATTTGGAAATCGTCTAATTAAAACGCGCTGACAGATCATAATGCGAAACACATCGGAAGGATTTTTACTGGTACGATAAACTATTATCGTAGAAAAAAAATTATAAAAGTTATAGCATCGCGTTTGGCGTTTAAGTTTCCTGCATGGAAAGAAGTCTTGCTGGAATGTGTAAAAATTTAGCTAGATGTAGGTCTAAAAAGAATTTTATAGAACGTTCGAACTGAATTTCTGGAATGTCAAAACTTTTTGCAGCATTGTTTATCATGTTTGAGTTTCCTACAATAATTATTTCGATGATTCAGCTAAAAGATTAATTTGTTTAGATCTACATCTGTATTTTTGGATAGATACAAATTTGAAAATTTTGCTGTACCGTCAATAAAATAATTATATCGAAAAGAAAAGAATAATGAAAACAATAATGCTGCAAAGAGTTTTTAACATTCTAGCAGTTTGGGCGTTTTACATAAATTTTCGCGATTCAACGAAATTATACTTGCACACATTCTCGTTCTTTCCATGTATTATACGATAGAAAATTTGCCCGAAGAAATATCGTTTTCTATTACCTACACCCTTCGGATCGTTGTTCGGTAATCTTCTTTCCTTTTTCATTCGCGCGAATTTAGAATGTCACAACACGCGTTTAACACACTGCACTTTGATTCTTTCATTAGATAACTATCCTTCCGATTCGTAAGTTTTAAATGCTTTCCTCCACTATATCTCGAATAATACTCGAGAGTCGCGCGCAAGGCCACGACTGTAAGCGATAAGCGATGAGCTACAACTTGTGAATGGTTGAATTTGTTTATTAATCTTTTTAATTTTATACTCTTGTCTCTGCATGTTATATTATTATCACACATGAAGATAAATTCTCATTTATTACATTTAATAAATTAATAATAAGTAATGAATTAGTCTTACGGAGATTACCAATTTTAGAGATTTATCAGAATTCAGATATTTCAAGATCAATGTCGATATTGTTAGGAAACATATTCCACATCATGCATTACTCATCGTGTCACCGCTCGTCGTTCGCCAATGCGTTGCATACGGCGATCTTCCTTATATCAACCACGTTTTCGGCAACTATCGCTGTCGATTTTTTTTTCGGCGCCTTATTTTTCGTTTGTGTTTCGCTTGAATCGCGTTGTTCACTCGACAGCGCAGTTGACGCGAGCGAGCTTTGCACTGAAAAAGAAATCTGATAACAGCTACTAAATGTCAAGTGGAAAAATTTCAATCGAACGTACCGTTGACGGCAATCGGAAATAATTTTACTTTTCTAAATATTTAATAATTTATTACCAAACGTAACAATTTAATTAACTGTTTTGATAATGATTTGTAAATATTTAGAAAGTGAAATTATGTTTGATCATACATACATTATATATATATATGATCCAGCGTTTAATTGAAATAATTTCACTCGCGACGTTTGGTAACTATTACCAGACTTTTTTTTCCAGCGTGAAGATCGTAGAATACAAAAAAAGGCGTACGCGTCATCGCTCGTTCGAAGGTATCAGTTCGATCGGAGTACATCAAGACAATGACAAGTCACGGTATGCGCTAAGACTGGCTTGTAGATCTCGCCGGGCTCGCCCCGGTGAATATCTGACGAAGCAAGTCGTGTGGACAGGACATCGTTAATCGCGCCGTCGAATTCTACCGCTGATCAATAATACAACAACCGATGTCCCTCGGCCAGCTCGATCGCGCACTGGAGGATAAATCAATGGCGCGCACTTCGAACGGGAAGTTAATCGTAGGCTCACTTACTCGGGCGGGGGTTTAATCCGTCGTGGCCGCGGGGTTGGTTAGTTTTTATCGGAGCCCGTGTAAATTACTCGATCGATTAATAATCGTAAACGGTCCACCGCCAGCTGTGACGGTCGAGCCTATGTGGCCTGCCGGCCAGCCGATTTATCAGTTTCGGGTAATTAAACCTGTTGCGTTATTAAATCGAGGACGTCGACGACGTTGCGTGGTTTTGCAAGCTTAATTTATTCGGCCCGCGATTCGCCCGGGGCTCGCCTCACGAGCTCAGGTAGCTGATAAGTGATAACAGCCTCCGGAGGCTGTACGAGGCCAGCCACCGGACGGGAGGTGGATGACGAATGTCGCGCGATTCGTTCGCGATATCAGATCACGTCCGGTGTGTTCGTACGACACTCCGCTTTCGTATAAACGAGGACTCCCGTTTGCGGGAAAGAATGCCCCCGAGCCTTGCATGCGTAGCGCATACCCTGCTATCGTTTACATGTGCAGTTTTCTAAGCTTGTTTCAAGCCAATTGGCACTTTTAATTTCGACAGGCGCGCTTATGAAAGATCCGGATAAGTTGAAGCTGATGCTGCTCGCGTGGAATTATAATCTCCAGGCACAGGCGCAGGCACAGGTCCAGGCTGCCAACGCGGCTCTCTCGCCGAATAACTCGTCGACTACCACGGCTACAACTGTTGGCACACCAATCACCAGCCAATCAGCCATTTCCACGGCAAACAACACTATTAACAACTCCACGCTCACAGGTAATACCTTATTTCATCGGTCGGCGTATGCGGCGTTTTCGTGCGTGTCGCGATGTCCTAAGCTGTATGTATGCGAATGTATTCGCAAATTGCGCGTAAAGTGTTAAGAGCCGAATGGCGTTTTTAACCTTTACAGGACGAGAAAGGCATTACAGTGGCGCTGAAACAGTGTCGTATATTTTTGAGGCAAGAAATACAATGGAATACAAAATGAATTGAATTATAAGTAACAAATCTTACTCAAGGAAAAGAGATTTTTTTAAATAGACCTCTCGCTCTTTAATGTTTTAAACCCTTTTGACAGACTAGTTTAGTAGAATGATTTCTAATCAGGGTTGTTAGCGGTCAGGGAAATCGGGGATTACCGGGAAAAGTCAGGGAAATTATTATCGAGGAATTTATTAATCCAAGATAAAATTAAATGACTGTAAAATTCTAAGTTTAAACTTTACTTCTTTAAAAATTATGAAATAGAATTTTTTTAATTTTTTGAACATGTAGTGCAAATATTTTTTCTTTTAATTTTGCAGTGAGCAATTTGTAGAAAACCATTAACAGATATTGTTAAAAAGGGAAAAACTTAACTTTGCAAATATCAAAATATGTATGTATTAAACGTGTATGATGAACATTTCGTAAATCATTTCTAATTAAAATGATAATTGGATCATAAAGTGTTTTAATGAAATGATTAATGTCCGTATTCGTCTTATATTTAAGGCTTAATTAAGTTTATCTTTAGGTGCTCTACGAATTATTTTATTCGCTACTGCAGCATCTAAAGAAAATTTAAGGAAGCTTTGAATATAAGGGTCTGAGTGATGAATATGGACAAAAATCTCAATGAATAATGAGCAAAACAAAGATACATGTATATCCGCCGTTTCCCGTAATTCATTTGTTTTTTAACTCGTCGCGTATCAGTAGTCGTATGTTCCACTTAATGTTTGCAACACACTCACTGTAAGTGTCGTATTATTATTTATATTTACAACTTATTCTTTAAGGTAAATAATTCTTTGAATGTAAATATTTTTTCATTGCACCGTTTATAAAATAAAATATTTTAATATTCTTTTTTGTTTTTATTCGGAGAATATATCTTCCAGGTTTTAGTCAGGGAATTTTTTTCAAAAAGTAACCGAGAAAAGTCAGGTAAATCTTTTTTCATTTTCGCTAACAACCCCGAAATTCTACGTTAGAGAAGAAAAAAAACTTCTTTCGGAAAAAATATAGTTCCGCTGAAATTATCTAAAAATTTAACTAAATACAGATCTTAAAATGATTTTATTTGATTATATCAAAATAACTATGCAGTACGCGCTCAAACTGACTGCAAGAATGTCAAATTTTTTTGTAGTATTGCCGTGTTTCACACATAATTTTTTTGATACTTTGGCAGGCAAAATTATTTTCAGATTTATATCTAGTTAAATTTTTTTAAATATTCCAACAAAATTATTTTTCCCATATATTTTTTTGTTTTGAGATCTACACGAATGATTTTAAAGATCTGCACCAGATGAATTTTTTTCTCCTTTTATACTTTCTACAATATTTAAAAAACAAATATCCGAAACTTTCCTCGTAATCGTTTTTTCTTTTTACTTCACCTTTTACAAGTTCTTATTACGAGACCATACATCTTGAAATTAAATGTCATTAACTGTTTTCAACGACTATCAATGAAGGAGAATCAATATCGCAGCTGGTCGGCAGTTACGTGCAGTTTCAGTCACAACTTCGCTTTGTGATTGCGAACGTCGCGGTGTACGAAAAAAAAAAAGAAAAAAAAAAAAAGATTTGCTTCGCGAAATCGACAGGCGAGACGTTTAACGGAATCCATTACGGGAGGAAGGATGTCTAGACGTCTTTCTTTCTTTCTTCTTCGTCGCGAAAGGACTCGACGAAGTTACGTACGCCAACGTCCCATTGATGTCGTTCTGACTGACGAAATCCCACTTATGAAAAGAACCTCGCTCCGCCTGGCGTAAGCGCAGCCGGGGGCTTTAATGCTCAAGTTTTGCGTCCTTCTCGCGCGTGTGACGCGCGCCGGAGTGAATTGCAGGTTTCGCGGGGCCAAGGTGTACCGGCCATTTAGCTCGTAAAGTTTTGTCGTCGTGCGCGACGTGACTAATGGATCGCCGACCTAGGACGTACCCCGTGGCGTAGAAAGAGCGATTCGACGCGCGTCTCGTTTGCCTTATGTGTATTTGTAATCGCGTACGCGAGAGCGGTCCGCGTGAAATCCGCGTGAAGGGGGGTGAATCGCGGGGGTGAGATTCACGCCGTGATATCCTTGCGCTTTTCCCCCGCCGGCGATGAGTCGGTTGCGGGCGGAAAACCGCGCGCGAGAGACGAGGCACGCAACCGATATCTTCGAGCATCGATACTTCTCTCGGAATTGCCGATGCGAATGCGGTGTGCATTGTTGTACGTCATCCTTCGTTCATTAATTCTTACGTAATCGCCAGAAAGAAACTCGCATTCTTTCGCAATACTGCAATCTTGTCTAAGCAGTGTCTGTTAAAGCTCGATCTTTTTAGATCTATCCTTTGATTTTTTTCACGTTTTAATATTTAATCTTTGTAAGATGGAAAAGCCATTGTGCATTCCGAATAAGATCGACGTGAGTTTAACACCATGCGGTGTCTACATAATTCTCACTGTGCTCGGTACTATCGTTAACATCAAAATGATGTAGATTTAACACCATGAGTTTTAAATCCGCACCGATATTTTTTTGAATGTACAGTGTCGGTCGAACTGTCACGTCTTGAGGCAAGAAATACAATAAAGTAATTTTCACTCAAAGGACAACTGAGAAACTTTTCAAAATAGACGATGTTTTCAAGATTTTAAATTGCAGCAACAGCTTAACGCGATGTTCCTTTGCTTCGACGACATTTCTGGTTTCATGTTATGTGTTAATTTTGGATTACATGATCAATTGTATTATACACTGAAGAGAATCCAATAACCCCTAGGATCGAAACATCTGTAATTTAATATTCAATACATTTATTTCGATACACAAATACCTTATGATGACTCACGTTATTTAGCTTTATTTCACCTTATCGATTTATTCTTTGGAGCCTTTACTCGGTCTGTATTTAAAAAATAGACCTTCGCCTTCTGCTAGTTAAGCTTTTCCTGCCTACCTTTTTTTGTTTCTTACAATATTAAAGTGTCGATATCTTTATAATGTTGAAATATCGTTTGTATTTCCGATTAACTAGAGAAGGCATGCGCCTAAGACATCTTGTACTTTGATACCTCGTACTCGAGCGGCCTGGTTGAACACAGAGCCGAGTCATGTGAATGGGAGCGTCGAATGTAATGCGGTAATTGTGTCGGTCGATGGACATTGAAAGTTGAATATCGAAAATCGCAGAGTGGACGCACGGAAAGGCCATTAGTCGAACTATTACGATGTCGTAAGTGGGTCCATCAAAGCGATTTTGAATTATCTGTGCTATTAATGCTTGTGCAAGCTATTTTTCTAATGCAAAGAGCAAGAATCGTTAGGATTTTCAGTAAAGTTATAATTATGTAAAAAATATTAAACGTATATGAAAGTATTACGTATTTATAACGTGTATTTATAATAATAAACCGTACAAGATTTAATGAAGCTAGTAATTTCGTTCAATCGAATTTTATTTTAATTGAAATTTTATAAATCTAATAAATTCGCATTTTCAATAAAAGGATTAAGTCTTTTTATTTAATTTCATTAATTCTCGAGAATTCGACGTTATTCTGTATCGCTTAAATCCTTCCTACTCGTTAAATATTCAAAATTAACGAACGTTTCGCGAATTGTGTATACCTGTGATCAAGAATTGCTCAATTATTCTACAAACTCATCCTACAAAACATCCTCGTCGGTGAAAGAAATACGCGTGTTAATTGTCACGCGCGTCTTTAATGTCGCGATAATCGCGGAACGATCTCCAAGGCGCCGAACGTTTCCGCGCGGTATCGCATGCTCTCGGGATTCGTCTGTTGTTCAGTTAGATTGCGGAAGGATAATTCACCATACCCCTCTACCTCTTCCACCTATCCTCCCTGGCAGCTATTTGAAACTGGTTTTCAAGCGGGCCTCTATATCTCGGACGTAGTCATTGCGTAATGAACCAGCCATCGGCTGCGAAGAGACGAGTAGATATATATATATATATATGTATATTTATATAGTATATGTATATATACGTACTATGTGCGCATACCTACACATTCACCGTACAACGGACAGACCTCTCTTCTCTCTCGTCGCACCATCCCTCCCTCCCTCCCTCCCTCCCACGTGATGACCATCGCAGATTCCACATCTTGCACGGAGGACTTCTCTCGCCGCGGAGTCCGTCCACTTTGTAGACATGCGTTTCGCAAATCGATTTCTCGATGGAGCCGCTTCTTCTGCCGCACCATCATGAGCGGGAAAAGCGACAGGAGTCGACGGTTTGCCGGTCGCAACTTGCAAGTCCGCGATTCGATCTGAGCCCCGATCTCTCGATGTAATCTCGCACCGCGGGAATTCGCATTTTCAACCAAAGATTCGTGGTTGTTTGTAATTTTGTGCACGTCCCGTTTTAGTCCAATCTAATACAATCGAAATATTGTAATTTCTTAAAACTCAGTAATGTATATATATATATATATTTTGAAAATACACTTGCATGTATATACAAGGAAAGAATGATATTGCCGAAACATTAAAAAATTTATATAGATACAGTTCTAAAAATAATGTTGTTAGATCATGAAAATAATTATATAGGAAATTCGTCAAGCAATGATGAGCATTGTTGCAAACAGTTTTGACATTCTAACAATCAATTTGAGCGTTTTCTATTGTACATAATTATTTTAACAGTCTGAAAAAATGATTTTCGCACAATTAATTCAACAAGTTTTAAATACATTAGCAAAGAAAATAATTTTTCTGGAAAATAAGTTTCGAAATAACAATAGTCTTATCCAAAAAAATCTCTAGATTGCGTTGGGGATCGATGAAGTTTCTCGATAACGTTACTTTATCTACTTGGATATTGTGATAAAAAGGGGACACGTCGAGACTGCGAGAACATCTTGGTTTCTCATCTCTTAATGCACTCCGCGGCAGAGTCGGCGTAATATTTATAATTTACAACGGACGCGAAACTTTCCCCAACGGGCGCATACGCGGCGATTATACTTGAGATATATCACAAAATCACAATGTCTTAAATATGACTGCTTCCGGATTCTGAGTCATATATATCAAGACAATCATACATTTATATATTTATTCTTAAAGATCGTCTTTTCGATAATAATGAGCGTTCCATTTCAAATATGTTCAACTTCAAATCATTAACAGCATCTAAATACACATTTAAGAATCGTAGAATCTGCATATCAATTATTACTATCTATTTGTCTTCGTATACAAAATAAATGGATAAAAAAGAAATGCGCGAACAAATTTGAGACTAAGAAATCTAGCGAAACTAAAGACCCGAAAGAATCGTTACGTAAAAGACTTTAGAAGTTCTCGAGTTAGCGCTAAGTAACGAATGAAGAAATAAAAATGAGAAAGTCCGAAGTATTATTGGACAATTAAATTGATAATATAAAAGTAAGTTAAATAAATGAAGACGACAAATATGAGGAAGACCTCATCTCGTCGTCGTCAAGAATAATCGTCCAAAAAAGTACAAACCGAGAACTTCCGAATTCTCTTTCCACGACACGGGCACGCACATGCCGTCACGCGCAACGTTCTAC